TACTTCCATAGCTGGGTTGGTTTCTGAGTTATATCATCATGTATGTTAATGGTCAGTTGTTGTTGGCTGTTGTTGATTCTTTATCCAAAGGACTCCCTTTAGCCTCTCTTGTAAGGTTGGTCTGGTTCTAACAAATTCCCTTAATTTCTGCTTATCTAGAAATGTCCTAATTTCACCATCATATCTGAGGGACAGTTTTGCCGGGTGTATAATTCTTGGTTGAAAATTTTTCTTCCATGGTTTTATATATACCATCCCATTGCCTTCTCACCTGCATGATTTCTACTGAGAAATCTGAGTTTAGTCTTACTGGTTGCCCCTTGTAGGTAACGTTTTGTCTTTCCCGTGCTGCTTTCAGGATTCTTTCTATGTCTTTGGTTTTGGTGAGTTTGATGATATGGCTTGGTGATTTGGTGATTTTCTTTTGGGGTCTATTCTGTTTGGGGTTCGTCAGACTTCTTAAATGGATATATTCTCATCTTTCATCATACCAGGGACATTCTCTTCCAATAAATCTTTGACTTTTTTTTTTTATGTGTGGTTTTATTTGTCTCTTCCTGTTCTGGAATTCTGATTACACATAGGTTATTCCTTTTGATGGCATCCCACATGATCTTTAGGCTTTCTTCATTTCGTTTTGATCTTTTTTCTGATTAGTCACTTTCCAAAGAAGTATTGAGGTATTTGTCTTCAATCTCATTAATTTTGTCTTCATTGATTGAATTCTATTCCTTTCAATGAGTTACCCTCATTGCCTGTTCAATGAATCATCTATTTGTGAATATTTAGTATTGCTCTGGATTTCTACCTGTAGATTTTGTATCATTTCATAATTTTTCATTAATTTTGTCATTTGGCCTTGTATTGTCTTTCGAAACTGTTGTAGGGTTTTCTCTGTGTTTTCTTCAATTTTGTTAGTGTTTTCCTTGATCTGTCTCTCAGTCTGTTGAAGATGCCTAAATATAATTATTTTGAATTCTTTATCAAGGAGTTCCAATGCTGTGTCTTCCTCAGGGATGTGTTTTGGGTCTGTATCCTAGTCCATTGTTTCTCCTGCTTTATCTTGCTTCTTTGTGCGGACTGTGATGCTCTGTTGTCTCCAAGGCATTGTGACGTTTTTGTGTTTATATTTAATTGGTGATTGTATTTTGGAGTGACTTGTCCACGATTTTCGTTTTGTTTGTACGTTATCTACGCAAGCAGGATACTGTGCTGTGCTCCTCTATTCACTAGTTGGCAGCACTTACACACTTACCACCTGTCTCCTTTCCCATTGTCTGCTTCCCGTATGTCCCTGCCGTCCTTGGCAAACAGAGCCTGTTCTTAGGTCCGTGGAATCCGAATGAGAATGCTGTCACTTTAAAATCCAAAATGGTCACTGCTTGCAAATATTCGAAATGGTAGTGCCTTCAGTCACTTTAAATATCCAAAGTGGCTGCCGCTTGTAAACCTTCAATATGGCTGCGCTCTCAGTCACTTTAAATATTCAAAATGGCTGCACCCTTGTTGTTGTTGTTGTTATGTGCCGCTGAGTCAGACCCAACTCATAGCGACCCCTCCTTGGGTTTCCGAGGCGGTATCACTAGGGAAGTAGATTGCCCAAACTTCCTTCCGAGGAGTGGCTGGTGGGTTTGAACCGTCAGGTTTCTGGTTAGCAGTCAAGTGCCTTAGACACTATGCTACCAGGCTGCACCCTTGGTCACTTTAAACATCCAAAATGGCCGCTGTGTGTAAACAATCAAAATGGCTGCACCCTCTGGACAGTAGGAAGTGCACAGCTTAGGTTGTCTCCCTCCTTGTGTTTCCCTTCCTAGTCATAGGCCACCAACACAGTTGTCCCTGCAGCCCTTGGCAACCAGGGCTGATCTTTAGGTCAATTCTTAGGTCCCAACACCACTTGGAAATATTCAGGTTGTTGGTCCCATCGGAGTAGCTGACAGTCCGCATCTCTGACTGTCTCTGTGCTCACCGTTTCATTCATGTTTTTCCACTAGTTGGTGCCTAATCCACTTGTGTCCTTCTTTTTAAAGCTCAGGGCTCCAGAATTATCTTCTGTGTCTGTGTCAATTGGTTTCTCTTTTCTTTGATGAAGAGGCTCTGTGGAGCTTGTCTACCTATTCCTCCATCATCCCAATCCTCACCTTTACTCAGGATGTTGCCGTGGGTGCCACCGGGGTTCCTCTACACCCTTGAGATAGCCCCTCATGGTGGGTGCAGGTTCACATTTAGGGACCTTGCAAGGGTTCTGTGATAGGGCCTTCTGTGGCACACGGCCACCATTCCCTCCAGTTGTTGCAAAAATGTTTTCTATAGCCCCCTCCAAGGAAGCAAACCTACCCAGCCCAGGATTCAGTATGGGCTCGAGCATTCTGTCAGTTGTAACTGCTGTTACTGTAGAGCTGCCCCCTTTCTCCAGAGATCTCGGGACCGTGTGAGAAGCCCCCTTCCCCTTCTCTGACTTCCTCTCTAGCTCAGGCCACAGTACCATGTCAGGTGGAGGCAGGAGTGTGTCAGGAGGGTGCTTCTGCGGTGACATCCATGGTGCCTGTACTTGCTGGGGTTGCATGGGGATGGTTTGCTTTATGCACAGGGTGACAGCTATGTCTTGCATTTGCTCGTTTTGTCTCTGCCACAGTTGACTAAGATAACGCGCACTGGCCCTTCCGCGTGGGAGACCAAGAAGATTCTGGCTGTTTCTTTTGCTCCTCTCGTGCAGCCCTGCCGCTCGGAGTCGGGAAAGCCATGCCTCGTCCAGTTACGTGAGTAGTTGTTCTCTGCTGACTTTGCCCTGTGGGTCTTCTTGATCTCAGCAGAAGTGGAAGCACGATTTATGAGCAGCTTTTAATACTCATGAGTGTTTTTGTTTTTCACCACTGAGAACTTCACATGTTGCCTGGGATTTTCAGGCATGTTGGAAATGCCTGAGTTTTTCTGGCCGCTGCTTACTTAGTCAGCTGTGGCTCTTCACGCCTGTGTGAGCAGAGGGCACCTGGCGGGGAACCGGATGGGTCACTCCTCCGTGGGGGTCCCCCTGGTGGGAGCTGAATGGGTTGCTCCTCCACAGAGGGGTGTTGGAGATCTCTGTTGTGACCGAGCATGGGGTTCACGAAGCACCCACAGGGATGAGGAGGGCCACATTCTGGGGGTCTGATGGTTGTGGGGTTCGAGACCCCTCCACAGCAGATAGGGGTGCTGGTGGCTCATTTTTCCCATTTCATTCCCTCACGGCCAGCAGGCATCCTAATTTTGTTTTATAATGTAAACAAAAACTCAGTTGGAAATGAGAATTCTAGTTGATATTATTTAAAATAAAACTACTGTGCTTTCACTCTGATTTTTGATCCTTTAACTCTCACTGCTGTTGAGTCAGATTTGACCCCCAGCAACCCCTCCATGGGTTTCCGAGGCAGTATCACTACGGAAGTAGATTGCCCAGCCTTCCTTGCAAGGAGTGGCTGGTGGGTTTGAACCCCCAGCCTTCTGGTTAGCAGTCAAGTGCCTTAGGCACTACGCTACCAGAGCTCCCTTTGGTAAGTGCAGAAAACATTAGAGAGACAACAATTATGCTTAGCTGCCCAATACAGCCATTATTAACATCTGGGAAGATTTTTCTAGAACTCCTTTTTGGGTCGAGGGCTGTTGCTTTTGAATAGTTACTCTTTGACTTGGTCTCTGCCAAGCATAGGCCATGGAACATAGGTCAGGAGAGCAGTGGCACAGGCAGAGGGCTTGGCTCAGGGGCTGACTTGTGCTTGGCTGTTGAGCATGACAAAGAATCCCCTAAGGAGGGATGAGAGAAAGCCCTCCTGGTGGGAGAGTGGTCTTAGCAGAGACGTGGAGGCAAGTCATGGTGGGCCTTGGGGACATTAGATGGTGCTGTGGAGGGCTGCATCTGTGCTTGGGATAACCCTGGTGGTGGGGGGACACGTTGGTCAAAGACATGCTCCCTGCAGATCCCACCAGAGTAACTTCTTGGGTCGCCACAGATGGGAGTCGACCCTGTGGCAGCCGACGTCTACCAGAAGCAAAGCTGTGCTTTTGGCTGCCTGCATTGAGGAGGTCACCACTGTACCGGTGTCTCAGTGGAGCGTGGAAGGTGTGGGCACAGGCAGGAACCTGGTTCTGGGCGTGTCTTTGGGTGTGAAGGCTGGATTAGGACCAGGCTAGACTCTCAACGTGGCATGAGGCAGGTTTGGAGGCAAGTCTCGGATCGTGAGCTGTCAAGTGACGTTACTTAGGGCTCCTGACGAAGCTACTTCAGTGGCAGACTGTGGGCCAGAGTTTCCCAGAATAGGTGACGGTGAGCTGCACAGTGCAGGGTCCCAGAAGAGAGAGGAGAAGCTCAAAACTAGGGACCTGGCTGGGAGGCTGTTGGGATCTCAGGTGTGAGAGAGGGAGGTGGAGGCTGCGACCCAGGCCTCTGGAAAGGCTTTGGGAGCAAACTCGGCCTTTTTCTGTGGAGCAGCTGTCAGCTGTCCAGGTGGCCTCTGAGGCTTGGGCAGTGGTCTGTAAATGCCATCTGAAGCCGAGGAATGTGTGTAAAAGCCAGGGCTAAGCAGGCACATGGATGGAGAGGGGGATGGGAGTGCTGGAGGACCAGAGCTGTCTAGGTCCTGATGGCTGTTCCAGTACTGTCATGGGAGACAGGCCCACGGCCCATAGTAGCTGCTGTTGTTGTTATGTGCCCTTGAGTCAGACCTGACTCACAGCGACACCTCCTTGGGTTTCTGAGGTGGTATTACCACAGAAGTAGATTGCCTAACCTTCCTTCCGAGGACTGGCTGGTGGGTGGACAGTGGCTGGAAAGGGGCAAATTGTAAGGAGGGAGCCAGTTGCTGTGGGACACCGCTTGAAGGGAGAGGACAGCTTGTCTTCTGGGACAACTGGATGGGTCCCTCTAAGCACCCCAGGGCAGCCAGGGTCCATGTTGGGGTGCTGAGCTGCCCTGGAGGCCCCTGTGGGCAGGTGAGTGCATGCTGCTCTCCCTGGGCCCTTCCCTGCAGGGCTGTGGGAAGCTGCTGTGCAGGGAACGGGCTGCTAGTTGGTCTGCGTGTGTTTAACACCTGACCCTGAGCCTCCCCTCAGAGCCCACAGCTACTGTGCTTTGGGGGCTGCACTGTAGTTGTCAGACTTTCTTCCTGTGGTTTGGGATTGTCTTTAAAAGGTTTTGGATTCACTGTCTTTCACTTAAATAACAAAAGGAACAAGTGTTAAAAGAGATGGAGGGGCGTAGGACGTGTGCACTCCCTGTGTGACGACTGGACGAGGTGTGACACATGAGCAAGTACTGCAGGAGGGGGTGAGACTAGACTGTCAGAAAACAAAAACTTGAACCTGTTTTAACTCCACCCCTGATCGATTAGCTCGCATGGTCCTCCTTCTGTTTCCGAAAGCTAAGAGTGTGTCTTAGAAAGTCTCTCCTGGGAGGTGCCCTGTGGGTGCAGGTTAGACCCCCCCCAGTTGCTGAGAGGTGCCACGTGGATACAGATTAGACCCCCCCCCAGGTGCTGAGAGGTGCCGGGTGGATGCAGGTTAGACCCCCCCGGGTGCTGAGAGGTGCTGCGTGGATACAGATTAGACCCCCCCAGGTGCTGAGAGGTGCCGGCGGGATTCAGGTTAGATCCCCCCGGGTGCTGAGAGGTGCCGTGTGGATACAGATCAGACCCTCCCCGCCAGGTGCTGAGGGATGTCACGTGGATACAGATTAGACCCCTCCCAGGTGCTGAGCGGTGCCGCGTGGATGCAGGTTAGACCCCCCCAGGTGCTGAGCGGTGCCGCGTGGATGCAGGTTAGACCCCCCGGGTGCTGAGAGGTGCCGCGTGGATGCAGGTTAGACTCCCCGGGTGCTTGCTCAGTGTGTGCTCATGTTCTAGTCACAGAATTGTGAGTAGGCTGTGAATAGCTGTTGCCTCAGGCTGTTTAGGTGCTGAGGCTTCATGTCCCATTGCTTACGTGCGTTGGGGTCACGTCTATCCTTGCGCCTGCAGCGCTGCTGGCGGTCCGCAGCCTCCAGGACCTGGCCCGCATTGCCATCCGGGGTACAATCAAGAAGGTCATTCATCAGGAGACAGCGAACAAAAATGGAAACAGACTGAAGAACACCCCCAGGTTCAAACGCCGGCGAGTTCGTCGCCGTCGCATGGAAACCATAGTCTTTTTGGACAAAGAGGTCTTTGCCAGCCGGATTTCCAATCCTTCTGATGACGCCACTGGTGAAGACTGGGAAGAGGAGCAGCAGGCAGACGAGGACAGGGCCGCACCGGAAGTGAAGCCAGATCCCCCGGTGAACTTCTTACGTGAGAAGGTCCTGAGCCTCCCTTTGCCTGACCCTCTCAAGTATTACCTGCTCTACTACCGAGAAAAATGAGACTCCTGTGAGACAAGGCAGGTGGGAATAGGGGCCGGGGAATGTGCCGGGCTACTTGCTTGCTGTGGGGGCAGCGCTTGCCCTCTGGGGGTGGGGAGCCTGCCAGCGGAAGGGGAGGAAGCATTTGCCGTGACACGGGGCATCTGCTGTTTGTGGGGGGGGACACCTGCCAGGGAGGGGGGAGCATCTGTGGGAGCTGCCACTCCTTATTTGTTCTTGATCATCCTCTAAGAATTTTGCACAGTTGTAGGACTTTTGTAAAAATAGGCCATAAACGTCAGCTGCATAGAAGTACGCTTTCCAGAGGGGAGCATGTGTCCAGGAGGGCAGCCAACTTCTGAGGAGGGGCCTCCCCCACGTTCTCAGATGAGATGGAAATTCAAAGTGTTTTGCTTCTGAAACGTGAAGCCAAGCATGCGTTTGTGAGTGTCTAGGTCCTTCCTGGACCGTGTCCAGGTTGCAGTGGTCTCCACCTCTCAGTTACTGCACTGACCCTCACTTTATTTTCTAGGTGGAGGGAACATTACTGGAAAACTCTGTCTGGTTTTTAGGTAAATCGATTACATCTTACATCTTGTCAGTTGTAATTTTTAAGGAAAAACGGGATTGACCAGGGAAGAGGAATAATATTCTCAAACTGCTAGCTATCTTTGTGTAATTCCAAGAGTTCCAGACATTTTTTTTTCCTGGCACCTTTTGTGACTTTAAAGAGAACCACTCTCGAGTAACCCCTGCAAGAGTGTCCTGAGGAGTGAAGCCCTGTGTCTGCACAGTGACAAGCTGCATGACTCGTGCCCTAACTGAAGGGACCCCTCTGTGCGGCTCCCCAGCGCGTGCCAGCTTCTGCGGCCAGGCCCCGAGCGTGGGGCGGGATGTGGACGTGGTGCCCAGGCTCGTTGACGTACAGTTTGCTGTTTCTCTGGGCCCACACTCTGGTTCTGAGTCACAGACTTTTACCTTTTTTAATTTTGGAGAAGAAAATAACAGGTGTCCATTTTGTACCTTTTTGAGGAACACATACGTATTTTAGGCACCCCATTGTGCAAGGACAGTTTAAGTAGTTGGGCCCAGACTAGGTCTCCACAGGCCCTGGTGGCTGTCAGGAGGTCTCAGGTATCAAGAGTATCTGTCTGTATCTGGTTGTGGGCCTGGAAGAAATAGCAGTCCATATATCAGCCGGGTGTTTGAAGTTGTATTGCTTACTCCAAAACATTGATGATTCTTTTCAAAACTTGTTTTTTCACTGAACTGAAAGAATCACACACAATGTTAATGGTTCCCTAGACTTGGCGCTTGGGTAGGATCAGGCCCCCGATTTCAGGACTTAACTGAAACCTTGGCCTCTTAGGAGCCCTGGGACGTGACATCTCTGGTGTTGCTGTCCACCTATGCTCTAGTACTTTGGACCTCTCCTGTCCCTTAGGAACCAAATCATTTTCACCACGTGCTGCGGCCCGCATGCGTAGCAGGCCCTCGAGTGGTAAATTGAAGCAGTTCTGAAGAGCGTTAGTTCAAGTTCGTCAGGCTCCCCTTTTCCCGCTTCTGCTTGGGTTTCCTCGCCAACACGTCTGGTTTGCAGACCCTTGTCCGTGCTCCTCTGATGTGCAGAGAGCTCAGTGAGCCAGATGGTTTTGGACGTCGTGTTGAATGAGTGACGTCTGACTGCTGTCATGAGAGGTGACTGGACTCATCTCCCCTGTAACTGCATATGGTATGTGTAGATTTGTACCACGTTTGCCTTTATGTGCAGTTGTAAAAACTCCATACAGAGTGTAGGACATGTTTCCCTGTGTCCTTTAGACTTTTCCTAGAATTTTCTATGTACATGTTGTCAATTTGTGCTTTTTTTCAAACCCAGAGCTTGGTGAGAAAATATATAAATGTAATGTCTGTGTGAAATAGGTTTGGTGTTTATCTCATTAAAATAAAGGGGAATTGTACATGGATTTTCCTGAATTTAAGCATCTTCCATGAGAGTACAGTATGTTTTCTGTTTTCAGACAGATAAATTATAACAATCTGTATTTTCTTCAGGCTCTTTTATGAAATATATTGTAAACCGTGTCCTAACAACTTACTTGCATTTATGTTCTTAGCAGTGTGTAATTTAATAGTATGATTTTTGTCTTGAAAATAATAAGGTCATACACTTGTGCAAAACAAACTTCAAATTTATAAATATTTGATATGTAATGTAAAAATCAAATATGTATATAAAAATACTTTTGCCCTGGAAATTTCAGGAGATTAATGCAAGATTCTTGAAACACGGGTTTTAAAACTAAATACAGTACATGGATAAATAAAAATAAATATATCAATAAAGGTGGTTAAGACATTGTACCTTCTGGCTGTTTGCTGCATGATATTAAAATTCTTGATAACATTCTTTTAAAAGTCTTAAAAACACAGAGTTTTTTTTTTTTTTTTAATTAAGACACTTTGGCTAGTTGCACTGTAAAGAGGCAAGGTGGGCAAACCCACTGTTACAGATTAAATTACTGCCGTTGAGTTGAATCCGACTCATTGCGACCCCTCCTTGGGTTTCCGAGGCGGTATCTCTACGGAAGTGGATTGCTCAGCCTTCCTTCTGAGGCGTGGCTGGTGGGTTTGAACCTTCAGCCTTCTGGTTAGCAGTCAAATGCCTTAGGCACTATGGCACCAGCACTCATCCCCCAAAATGTGGTTTCTAACCTCTGTGATTAGAATCCTATTTGCGAATGGGCTGTCTTTGTTATGCACATGAGACAGGATTGGTGTATAGTGTGTCTTAAGTTGGTTTCTTTTGAGTTCTAAAAGGTGAAATAAGGGAAAGTAGTGGAGATAGGGAAAGAGAGATGGCAAGGAAGACGGCCCAGGACCAGAAGCTCCAAGGACACAAGGACCTTCCTGCAGAGCCGACAGAGGAAGCCTGAATTCAGACTCTAGTCTCCTCATCTGACAAAATACATTCCTCTTTGTGGTATTTTTGCTATAGCAGCTCTAGAGAACTAAGACACCCACCTTTATCACTAACTGCGTGGCAGGGATGAGCATGAATCCAGTTCTCACCTGGACCCAGCCTCCACCATTCCACATACTTCTGTGGTACGTCCTCCTTTACTCTAACCTCCGGAGTTAGGCCGGACTTTGTCCCCAACCACCCTGAGCCGAGTTTTGGGGAGCGCTATGGGCTCGGCCATCTGCACAGCTCCCTGCACTTCTGACCAACCCCCCTTCCCCCTCTCCTGGTATACGTCACAGGCTAAAGGACTCTATCCTTCATCAACTGCCCATGCAGCCTTTCCCTGACCACCAGCTACCCAGAGCCGTGGTCTTCATGAATTGCCTTCATAAGTCTTTCTCTGAATTAACCACTGTTAGCTAAGTTAGAGTCCTGTCAGAGAGGAAAATCTCAGTCTGTTAAAAAGCCAAGAGTTTTACTGAGGATAATACAATTCACAAATTTGGAAAGCACAGGGCAGAGAAAACCTACCAAGTGCTCTACTGTGCTGGAGTCTCAAAGCCATGTTTATACGGTAAAACCAGGAACTTAGGTTACAGTATTCTGATTGGTGTTTGGTGGAAGTGGGGCTTTTGCTATGATTGGTTTGCACAGTGCGTGTGGATTATGGTGATTGGATGCAGTGCATCTTGCAAGGAAGTCACGAGGCGGTCACAAGCTGCTTACGTGATGGGCTTTCTGAGGACAAACGGTAAAACATCTTGCACAGTGGGTTTTGTCAACTCCCTCCCCCTGGTTTAATGTGATGTACTTTGCTGTTGGTAACCTAGCTGTGGCATATAAGAGCAGGATGTCATCAAACATAAAGAACAGAGTCTTGCTAAGACAGTTGCAAGATGAGTGAGTTTTGGTTGTAAGACCTCTGGAGTCATACAAGCAGGACGTGGTGATTAGTCTTCTGCTGAACAAGTCTCAAGTGTTTCGGCCTGATCACTCGAGTATGACTGAAACAAACAAGCTGCCGTCAGAGGGTATTTACAGTTCAGGTCAGAAACATTTCCTACACTGCATTATTAAGTCTATACAAAGGTTAACTGTTGCTAAGGAATAAGCCAGGACATGAAAAATGGACTCAGGCCTATGCCCGAGCCAGCCCCCTTTGAGGCCCCTGATTTTAAAATCCCTGACTCAGGGCTATTGCTTGCTTTGTGGGCTGGTTATTTCTCTGTCAAACCAAACCAGACCAAACCCATTGCCATCAAGTTGATTCTGACCATGGTGCCCCTACAGGACACAGTACAACTGCCCCTTAGGGTTTCCAAGGCTGTCAATTTTTCCGTATCTCTCTCCTGGTGGAGCGGCTGGTGCTTTTGAGCTGCTGATGTTTCAATTAGTGGCTGAGCCTTTTAACCACTGTGCCACCAGGGTTCCTTAATTCTCTATAGTGGCTCAAAAAATTCATGGAGACTATTGCTCATACTTCCAGTTATCCATGTATGATAACCAGAAAGGATGCAAGCAAAGGGTCAGTCTGTGTTCTCTAGAGGAGCAAAACCAGTGAGAGGGGTGTGTGTGTGTGTGTGTGTGTGTAAATATGTTTATCAAGGAAATGGCTCATGCGATTGTGAGGACTGGCAAGTCTCAAATCCATAGGTCACATGCAGGCTGGAGACCTCTGCTGGCTCACGGGGTAGTAGAGGTTGGCAAATCCAAGGTCTGCAGGTTAGGGGTTAGGCAGGAGCCAAAGGTCAGGTGAAAAGAAGAGGGCAGGGTTGAGAGAGAGCTGAGTTAGAACATCCATTTATATTCTGGAGGCAGGCCACAATCTGGAGACAACTCCTTTTTCAGCAACTGTCTGCTCACATCATTGGAAAGTGATTACATGATACTACATTCTGGAAGAGCAACTAGTCCAGTATCTGTCAAACCACTGAGACTCAGCCTAGCCAACTTGACAAGTGACGTTAACCATCATATGAAGAGATGCATTAGGCAAAGTGTGGAAGAGGTCCCTGCACGGGGCCTCTCTTGTCCCCAGGGCTGTGCCAGACTCTCC